TATGAGCTCTTTAAGATATGAATCAATCCAATCCAATCCACTTTATTTATATAGCACGAATTTAACAAACACAAGGTTTCCAAAGTGCTGCACAAAAAGATATACAGAATAAATAGATAACACAATCGAAGATAAACAATAAAAGATAAAAGCAATAAAATAAAATAAAATAAAATAAAATAAGTAAAATAAATAACAGAAATAAATGAAAAGCACTGCCCACACAAGATAAAAATATGCATGTATACACATAGAATCAACGCTCTACATGGTATCAAAAGCCGAAGAAAAGAGGTGGGTTTTAAGAAGAGTTTTAAAATGAGACAGAGAGGTGGCCTGTCTAATGTGCAGCGGCAATCCATTCCAAAGTTTTGGAGCTGCAACGGCAAACGCTCGTTCCCCTCTGAGCTTAAGCCTAGCTTTAGGCACTGTCAGGAGCAGCTGGTCAGCTGACCTGAGAGATCGGCTGGGAGTGTAGGGGTGCAGCAGCTCAGAGAGGTAAGAAGGGGCAAGGCCATTCAAAGCTTTAAAAGCAAATAAAAGAATTTTAAAATGAATCCTAAAATGGACGGGCAACCAGTGAAGTGAAGCTAAAATAGGTGAAATGTGCTCATACTTGCGTGTGCCAGTTAAAAGACGTGCAGCAGCATTTTGTACCAGTTGAAGACGAGAAATGGAGGACCCACTAACCCCCATATAAAGTGCATTACAGTAATCCAGCCGAGTGGTCACAAAGGCGTGGATTACTGTCTCAAAGTGCTGTCTCTGAAGGACTGATTTGATTTTTGCCAGCTGCCTTAACTGGAAAAAGCTAGACTTTACCACAGCTTTAATTTGGCTGTCAAATTTAAGGTCTGTGTCAACTTTTACCCCAAGATTTTTTGCAATTGGTTTGCGATATTGCGCTAAAGAACCCAGATCAACTGGGGGGGGGGTCACAGAAGTGCCACCAAAGACCATGACTTCTGTCTTGTTTTCATTAAAATTCAGAAATTCAAAGACATCCAAGTTTTAAGGTCGTGTAAGCACTTTAGCAGTGGGTCAACAGAGTAGGAATCTGATTTTTTGAGGGGGATATAGATCTGGCTGTCATCCGCATAACAGTGAAAAGAAATGCCGTGTTTCCTGAGAATGGAACCAAGTGGGAGTAGATAAAGAGAAAATAAAAGAGGGCCAAGCACAGAGCCCTGTGGGACCCCACATGAGAGAGGAGCAGTGGAGGACACAGAGTCATCAAGGCTGACACAGAAAGTCCGATGTGACAGGTAGGACCTGAACCATTCCAGTGCTGAGCCACTGATGCCCACCCACTGCTCCAAACGAGCGATCAGGATTTCATGATCCACTGTATCAAATGCTGCAGTCAAATCTAAAAGTACAAGGACAACACAGTGTCCAGAGTCAGTAGCTAAAAAGATATCATTAAAAACTCTTAAAAGCGCTGATTCTGTGCTGTGCAATGTTTTAAAACCGGATTGGAAAGTCTCAAGAATATTGTGTTCATTTAAAAAGTCCATGAGCTGGGAATAAACAATCTTCTCTAAGATTTTAGAGAAGAAAGGCAATTTGGATATAGGCCTGAAATTTGCCAAAACATTAGGATCCAGCCCAGGTTTTTTTAATAAAGGCTGCACAACTGCATGTTTAAGATTTACAGGGACTACTCCAGAGGACAGACTGCTATTAATAACTGTGAGACATGATGGCCCAATAGTGGGAAAAACCTCCTTGAATAACCGGGGCGGGACAGTATCATTCGGAGACCCTGAGGGCTTCAAATGACCCACAATCTCATGCACAAACAGCAGGGTCACAGGTTCAAAGGTGTCAAACACAGCAGAGCAGGGGACAAACACTGAAGGATCAGAAGCAGGAGGTGAAATAAGTGCTCTGGTAGAAGTGACTTTATCAATGAAGTAGTGAAGAAAGTTCTCACACACAGCGGGGGAGGCCTCAATTCCAGTCTGTGGAGCATTCAGAGCAGAGTTGATAACTTTAAACAACACACGAGGGTTACGACAGTTTAAAAGAACAATATCAGAAAAATATTTTCTTTTAGCCTCTTTCACAGTCGATTGGTAAAAACGCAATTTGTCCTTTTTCCACTTTTGCTCAGCTCTTCGACAATCCTGTCTGACAGTGCGGGTTGTTTCATTCAGCCAAGGCTCTGATTTAGCTTTCTGCTGCCTGGTCTTTAATGGAGCCGCAATGTCTATGGCAGTTTGACAGGTGTCGAGAAACCATGAGTTAAGAGCCTCTGTATCCTCACACAGAGACTGGGGAATGACGCAGTTCTGACTGAAGACTGCGGAGAAGTGAGCAGCAGTGGAAGGGTTAATAACTCGACATCTGCGAGCAGCAGCGCGAGGTTTAACTGTGTGACAGCAAACAGCAGCTTCAAAAAGTACAGGCATATGATCCGAGAAAAAAGCGTCACAGACCTCCAGGTTAAGAACAGGCAAACCAGAAGATAAAACAAGATCAAGTGTGTGACCACGTTCATGTGTAGGCCCAAGTACAGACTGCACGAGATTAAAAGAGTCAATAATGTTTAAAAAGTCTCGCGCCAAAGGGTTTTCAGGGCAACACACATGAATATTAAAATCTCCAACAATAAGGACCCGGTCATATTTGGGCACAATATCTGCCAAGAACACAGAAAAGTCTGTTAAAAAGTCTCTGTTGTATTTGGGAGGCCGGTAAACCACAGCACACAGCACCGTGTGAGAAAGCCCCAGCTCAAACAAACTGAGTTCAAAGCTGGTCTACATCTTTAGACAGTGAGTCTAAAGTGAGGTTTTTGGGGCCAAGTACAAGGATTTAGGTTTTTTCTGAGTTTAGCATCAGAAAATTGCAGCTCATCCAGGTTTTTATGTCCTTAAGACATGTTCGTAACTTAGATAAGTGATTATGTAGTAGTATGACTTAAACCAGTATGACTTAAAGTCTGACTTAAACCAGCTAAGTGCGGTTCCTTTAATGCCAATTTGATGCTCAAGTCTCTGTAAAAGAATATTATGGTCAGTGGTGTCAAATGCAGCACTAAGATCTAATAATACAAGTACAGAGACAAGTCCATTGTCGGAAGCAATTAAAAGGTTGTTCATCGAGTTGTTTTGCTGATACTGAGTCATGATAAAGTAGTTGTATTTTCCTTAATAATAATACAGGTGAACAGCTCTGCGTTAAGACACAAATGCCTGTAACCAAGCTGATATAGCCTATATATATAGCAACTAATAAACAAACACTTGTCTTGTCTTGTCGGTGTCTAGAGGGAATTTCACTTCCCCTTAAAAAGCGTCATGCAGTGTTTGTTGCTTCAGTGCAGCCTTGGCCAACCTGAGTTACCTGTATGAACTGTATTCTGCTGAGTGTTTATTTTCCTCATCTGTAAATGTATCTTATTTGCTGGGGTTTTGTTGCACTTGCAGTGGCGAGGTAAGTGCATAGCTCTCCACTGCTTTATCTGATCCGCCGCCTTGGACTGAGCTCTGCACACCCACACGCTGTGCATGAAAGTTTTGCAAGTAAAACACCTGTACAGCTGCAATTGTCGCCGTTTTCGATATGTTCTTCTTCCTGTGGCATTTAACAGCCGACTAGAATACGTGTGGGCGAATACCGCCTGTCAGGTCCGGGAGAATTGCATCCTCGGTACCATCGGTGCCTACTGTACTGTGGAAAAACGAGCACCTTCAGGTTTTCGGAATATTGGTATCGAGTTGGTACCAAAGTATCGGTTCTCGTGACATCCCTATACTGGCCCATGTTTGCGAATTGGGTAGAGAGTAAACCCACTTTTCCACCACTGCCTACAACTGCAAGCTTGCCTTAACATGATTATTTTTCTTTACAGAAACATTTCAGTGATGACTGTTTCGAAGTGTTCACAGTGAGCTCCAAAGAGTTTCTAAAGCAAAAAGATCTAAACCAAGACGACACTGGTAGGTGAAGTCTCTATATATGAGCACTTAATGGATAACAGGAAGTACAAAGCTCAAATAGATGTTTTGGTTTAGTTAAGTTAATGACTTAAATTCAAACAAGAATGAATAATTGGATTATGACATTTAAATTTAAGCAAGTGATGTAAATATGTCAACTGCATATTTTTACAGAAATACCCAAACTGCAGGAATTTCTGAAAGATCTCAATGACTGTCACTCAGAGACATTAAACTATGTGTCTGGAGCTTATGGGATTCTCTCTCTGATCCAAGGGGCCCGTCGTACAGAAGTGGTAATACCAAGTAACATCTTTAATTGTTTTTAATTGTCATTTATTTTAACAGAAGATAATATTCATAGCCAATAAGTAAGTTGAAGTTAACTACAGTCAAATCCAGCTACAAACAGACTTCTTAAATCTATGTGGAGTAACTATGATATAATGGCAATTAAATACTGAAAGGTTCTACGTGTCTTCACCCCTAAAGAAATGTTTGCTATTGAGGTAGATTTTCTGAATTTGGCTGCATAACCACAGTAAATAAAGGATACTCCAGAACAACACAATTGCATAAATAAATAAACAATGAATAGTTGAAAAGAAACCCCAATCAGGTGGTAGTATACAGTAGTTTCATTGCTTGAATTACTGAACATGTTGTGTTTGATTTCAGGTTGCCCAAAAAACAGAGGTGTGCACAATCCTTGAAGACAAGATGAGGCAGGAACTTGAAAAAGTCAGAAAACCCATGGAAGAGGCTTATAAGGTTTTTGAAAAATGCCTAAGTGAAGGGGTTGAACGATCAAAACCTTCATGTCAACAAGCCTTGAGCTCCATATATCCTGTATGTATTTGAATTATAATTGCATCCAAACATTTTGCCCTTCATATGATTATGTTATGTCTCCTAAAATGTTCTGGATTTTTGTTTTTGTTTATGTTTTAGAGTGAGGTGTCAGGTCGCGGTTTTCACAGGATATTGAAGTGTGTGGTTCAGAACAATGGCACATACACACCAAAGAAAGGAGACATAAAGAAACAGATAAACCTCAATGTGGACTTAGCTTCACGCCTGACTGACAGCATTGATGAAGAATTCAAGAAGACCTTCCCGTAAGAAAAGATTTAATGAAGACATAAAACCCTTGGTTGACCCATTTTAAAACTATAGAGAATCGTAATGAACGAACGATATAATATAATACATATATACAAATTGCATTATCAAAATACAAACTTGTCTTTTATGAAACATTTCAACTTAACATGTTTCAGAAACAAAAGAAAATATGGACCATTCAACGGGGTCATCAATAACTTTTCACTAGACACAGAGAGGCTGATTCAAAAGTACAAGGATGTCGAACTGCAACTGACATTTCTCAAGACGGAGGTAAAAGATGAGAATACTACTATCCTATCCATTAGTCCATTATCATGCTGTTTGTCCAGGGAGACTTTAGGGTGAGCAATTAACCCAAACATCAAGTTTGTGACTGAAGATTAAATATTGAATTAAACAAAATAAAATTATATTTTGAACTGTTAACATATACACACGGTATATGAATAATGCTATTATTATAAATGTTGGTAGCAATGCAGATAAAAACTAAATGCCACAGGTCCTAAAATAAAAATATATTTAAAAAGAGAAACCATAATTTGTATAACTGTAATTTTATTTGAGAATATGTTGATCTAATATGTTGATCTATCTATCTATCTTTTCTTTTCCTAAGGAAGAAAAAATGAAGACAAAACTCAACAAAATCATCCAGTATAATAAGAAAAAAATCTACAACAGTCTGACAACAACAATCGAGGAAGCCATGAAAGAATGCTACAAAAGTAAGCAAGAGAATCTAATCATAAATAACCTGACACTATAATTATAGACATTGACATTCATTGTGATTGTGCATTAAAATGTAGTTGACAACAATTTTCTGTTTCGTTGTAGAAGCAGCAGACTTTAGAGGACAGGGCTCGGTGAAAAACATGAGGGACACTATTGAGAAGCATGTATATGATTCAAAGAACATCATGTTTCAGCAGGCTAAAGATAAAATGTTGAATCAGCTGACAAAATTGAAGGTTTGTCACATTTTATAAAACTTCATATGATGACCACGAACCAATAGATTAAAATACGTGACAGTGTCACGTATTTTCGTGAGACTGGGTTGAGGAAAACATGTTGTGCTGCACATCTTTATCCATAATACTAGGTCATCATTTACATGAAGGCTTTTTCTGTATTTAAGTGGAATATACATCATTCTAAAAGCTGCATTTGCTACTAAAAACACTGCAGGCACTGTCACAAACATACAACTATTATTAATCTTATGATGATGTAGCTATTAACCCCTTGTATACATTTAATCATGTAGGATTCAATTAATCTTGAATACAATATTTTGCTGTGTGAGTAATGATGAAATTTCGATGCTAAATTAGGAGGATATGCTGAAGTCACTGGAGACAACAATGCAGGAATCAATCGACCATTCACTCAAAACAGATGGGGACTCAATCCTAGGTAAAGGGAATGTAGCAAAATGATGATAATTTACTAAAAATACAGTGAATATTTTATTAAAATGAATAACTTAGGAAATTACCAATAGTGTAATTAATTGTGCACACGAAAATAACATGTTTTCTTTTTAAGATGTTACAGTGGAGCTTGCAAAAGTGAAGAAACACTACAATGAACCGATGGGCCCAGATGAAGAAACACTAACTTGGTAAAACATTAAAATGTCAGCCGCCTGATAATAAGATGTTCTGAATAATGCTAACCATGCTTTTAATTACACTGGCCCAGAAGCTAATCCACCCAACCCAGCAACTGCACTGTGTCCATGAGTGCAGAGGTACATTTTAGTAAAACTGATGATCTAACTGATGATTTAAACAGAAGCCAGCATAGATAATACTACTATTATACTTTTTATTATACTACTACTATAATACTACTGTTTGTCATCACTGTTCAATATCCCTATCTTGCTGATCTCTTTGGTGGATGTTGCAGACGGAAGTCCTCTTTGAGTGTTGTTTTGATATGTACTTTGAGTTTGATGTGTGAACTGATGTCTCCCATACATTACTATTTTAGCAATAATATTACATTAATTATAGATTGAGCTTTTCCCTATAATATATATATATATATATATATTATTAATATGGGAGTGAAAACCACTGTCATTGAAGAAAACCTGTCAGCGTCAAAATAACTGAAAAATGACTGTGATGAAGAAAAAGATCAAAAAAGACTAAAATATTGTCAATAAAAAGAAAAAAAGGGGACTTCCGGTGACGCCACATGACAAAATTAAAGATAAGAGTGACAGCTACAATATTTTGACGCTGAAACATAAAAGATAGATTCATGAAACATGAGTTCCTCTGCTAGTCAAAGGAGACAGGATAAACCTGACCCCTCACAGGGAAAAGACGATAATAAGCTGAATCCACAGAGCCCAACTAGCAAAACCGAGGATAGCAGCAACACGTGTCAGTCAGACTGAACGCTAATGGAGGAGTTAAAAAAACTCAAGACGGACACAACCACACTAAATTGGCCCTTAGCCGTGTGGAACAAACTATTTCAGACATGAAGGACCAGCTGGTGGAACACAAAGAGAGAATGGGAGGACTGGAGGAGAGGTTTGATGAGGCCGAGGATGCGGAGATGCGGCACCGCACTAAACTGTATAAAAATATAAAGAAATTAATACAACCAGATCAGACGGGATTCATATTAGGACGTCAAGGAACATATAACATAAAGAGAGCCCTGAACCTGCAGGCAATAGCGGCAGGGGACAAAGAACCATCAATGCTTCTCAGCTTAGACGCAGAGAAGGCATTTGATCGAGTTGACTGGGTATTCCTGAAGCAGACACTGATAGAAATGGGCTTCGGGAAAGAATTTGTGGCTTGGATTAACCTATTGTATAAGGAGCCCAATTAAATAACAATGTCTCTTTTCGCTGGTCCAAACAAGGGTTTAGGTATTTGGGAATTATTATTACATCCAACTCCATTCAATTGTTCCAGGCAAATTACAACAAATTAATTGAACAAATAAAAAATTATGTGACGCGTTGGGAGGTCCTTCCCCTTTCTTTAATTGGCAGAGTAGAAACAGTAAAAATGAACCTATTACCTAGACTTCTTTTTTGTTTCAAAAGAGTACCTGCTTCCACTTTAAACATGTTGGACTAACTAATCTCAACATTTATTTGGCAAAAGAAGAGACGGGAGGTCTAGGTTTGCCAAACCTTAAAAATTATTTTTGGGCTGCACAAATGAATGCAATAGTGGCATGGATCGGAAATGACCGGGAAGCAATACGGACTCAGATAGAGCAGGATTCGGTTAGGGGCATTTCCTTATCAGTACTACCATTTATTGATACAAAGTCAGTCAGTAAAATCAAAATAAAGAACGAATGGATAAAACACACTTTAAAAGTCTGGACAACAGTGAAAAAAATGCTCAGGGGGCCAGAGTTGATCTCAAGGGCCATGTTGATAGTAGGAAATACAGAATTCCCACCTTCCGTGTGGGATGGCGGGTTTAGAAGGTGGGCTGATAAAGGTCTCTGTACAATTAATCAACTTTTTAAAGAGACAGAATTCAAATCATTCTCTCAAGTTCAAGAACAATTTGACCTCCCATCAAAGGATTTGTATAGGTACCAGATAAGACACTATATCATAAGTCATAAGGAAAGGGAGCTGGTCAGCAAAAACCCAAATGAAATAGTACTTATTATATTATTATAGTACTTTATTAGTGTTCTGGAGAGGCATTTCCCAACAAAAAAACATGCAAATAAAATATATAAATGGTTAACAACTGGCAGTTCACAAAACACAGACTACATTAAGGAAAAATGGGAATTAGAATTGAATGTTATAATTGAAGATTTTACATGGATGGACATATGGACAAGTTGTGATAAGGGAATTAGTAGCCAACTGTGGAAAGAATTTGACTGGAAGGTAAAGATCAGATTTTTTAATACTCCCTTTATCATCTATGTGGAAATTTTGGAGACACCACACACATTTTTGGGATTGTCCGGCAATACAAGGATTTTGGGTTAATGTTAAAAAGGAAATTGATATTATTTTAGAGGTAGATGTCACTCCAGAACCTATGTTGTTTTTGTTGGGAGCCATACACAAAGACCTATATAATGCAGATCAGCGATATATACTGAGGATTATTTTATTAGTAGCAAAGAAAATGATTATAGTGAACTGGAGGGATGTAAAACCACCAACAATAGGTCAATGGGTCCAGAGACTGAAAAATGTATACATGATGGAGTGAATGACGGCAAGTCTGCAGCTAACTATGGACACTTTTGTGCAAAGATGGACTTGTATTTCAAGGTACCTGGGGGTTTGATGGATGGGATGATGTGATGGAGTACTGTTGGGAAGGGATGCCTATCTAAATTCCTCTTTGGAAAATCTTGCTTAGCTACTATTTACAGATATTTGCTCCTCTGCTTGTTGTTGTTATTGTCACTTTTATTAATGTTATAACTATTCTATTTTTATTTCATTTATCTTATTTTTTTACACACTTTTTTCTATTTTGCTTCATATTTACTTATTTAATCTATTTTCATACTTTCTTTTTATGTATTAATTATATATACCTCTTTATTCCATCTTTTTCTTTTGTTTGTTTGTTTATTCTTATTGTGATTTATACTGCATGTCATTTGTTTATTACCTGTATACATTTGTCAGGAAATGTTATATAAAATGATTAAAATCTTTAAAAAAAAATGTAAAAAAAAAGAAAAAAGACAAAAAAGTGTCAAGTAATAAGGGTATCGGTGGTAATGAAATACTGTGCTGTGTGAATTGAGAAGCCAATTGCAAGGGATGGCAAGTCACCGCCACTATGGAGGAGTAAAAGTGCCACAATTAAATAAATAAATACACCATTAAATAATTACTTAAATGTGTCATTAATTAATTAAAATTGGAATTAAATACATAAATGTGTTATTAAATGTGTCATTCATTCAAATACCGATTAATTTTATGTAAAATACATATATAATTATTTCATTATTTATTTAAGCATTTCATGGTCCTGAGTTGCAGTGCTTCATGAATTACTTAAAACTGTCAAAGCCAGCCATCAAAAGTTGGTAGGCGGAACCTAACGTCTGATTGGTTACCCTGTGCATCAAGTCAGGGCAAATCAATTCCAGATAATGGATTGATGCAGAGCTAGTGAACACATTTCAACACACTGGGTGGTGCTATTGGACTACTTCTCTTGCAGTCACTCTATAGTCAATATCTTGGTCAGAAAGTGCGGAAATAACTCTAAGAACTTCAATAAGTTTTTCTGCTTTACTCAGTACATGCTCTGGGTCAGCAGGCCCTGCTTCCACATCCTCTGCTAAGTCTAAAATGTGTAAGTCTAAAAAATAAAATAAAGTGTTTAACTTTAGAAAAATAAAGTGTAGCAGCAGCTTGAGTTTCCTTTTTTCTTTGTTAACTGTTTCATATCATGATTAACAGTCTCAACATATTTTATAATAAATGAATATCAACAAATCTTTACAACAGAACTTTCTCTTTCTTTCCCTTTTATATCATACGCCCCCACTTTACGTTATAGAACATCTTCTTGTACTGTTCACAGCTGAGTTGGTCCAGACAACAGATGGCTCATAAGCTAGTTAATAGCTATTATAGTTAGGTGTTCACAGTGAAGCATTGCTATTGTGCTAATTGTGCTAGGCTTGTTATATTGTACAACAGACACACCAAACTCTCCAAAGCACGTTGTGCGACGGTAATAATAGTCCATGTAAAACACAGTGCCCTGAATGGCTTAAACAGTGTCCATGCAAACAATTTGAATCTATGGTTTTCACTCATTGTAAAGGAATCATTTCAGCCGCAATCCTCACTTAAGTGGGCTCAGAGAGAGAAAGAACAATGATATCAGTGGCACGATATCTCACAGATGTTCTGATACATTGATGGAGCTGGTTTCTGGTTTCAGGTTGTGTATGTCTATGCATATCTCAATATTTTCCAGACCATTTCTTACCTCATATGAACCATATATGACCTGTTTTTCCATGCCTTTGTCATATTGTTAGGCTCCACAATGACTGCAGCAATCAACCCCAACCAACCTATTTATTTATTGTATTTCTTCATAACCCACATCACATTGGTGTAGGTGTGGTTGTGTGAAACAGGTGTTGTTGCCTTGCCTTGTGGCCAATATCAGCTTATCCACCACCTGGCCCACATGGAAATAGAACCATTTTCTCCAGTTGTATTTTGCATCTTTATTTTACTGCTGTGGTAAGATGTTTTGTGAACAAGTAGTCAGTACTCTTTCTTTACTGTCAGGATATGTACCACAGTCCTTTAAAGTAGCTGTAATTAAACCCCTTCTTAAAAGGGCAGCAGATGAGCTGTATCCTATTGTAACACATATTTTTAGTTAACTACCTGAACCTGAAGGTTTATGCCTATTAACTGATGAGACATTAACTAGGGATGCCCCTTGACTGTCTTCTTAACTGCTAGTTGCTGAGAAAAGTCTTAGTCGACCCAGAAAAACAACTGGAAATGCCATTTGGGAGCTGCACCTTGTCGACTATAACTCTGGGGATGAAGACACGGCGGGTTCAGGCAGGGACCAGCATGTTGCATTAAATTTTTTGAAGTAACTTTTAAGATTATACACCATCCGTTGTATAGTGTGAAACAAATCTTCAAAATTGATGAAGATTTTTGTAATAAGCACTAATTCACTAACAAAGACCATGCCAACAGCTGTATGGAATAAAAAAAGTTTATTACACATTAAATGAACAAAATGAACCAAGGAGAGAGTGAACGGATAAGGTGTCTGGGAAATTCTTCCATAATCTGGAGAGGTGCTAGTTCTCTGAAGAATTACAAACCCAGTGTGATGAATCAAATTCCTTTACTCATGCATGCACTCAGGATGGAGGGAAGACCACGGCATAGACGTTCCCTCCATGCTCCATGAGTAAAGGAATTTGATTCATCACACTCGGTTTGTAATTCTTCAGAGAACTAAGAAGTAAGTTTGGGGAAAGAGAAAACTCCTAGAAATGAAGTCCCACCAACAATAAGGGCATATGTGTGAAGAAAGTAAAAACTATAAACTTTGTGGTGACTCAGTCAGTGTTTGGTATACATTGTATACTACAAGAGTGAGCTGTTTGGAACGTATGTGTCATAAAAGCCACCTGGCTGATCTGAATTGCCCAAAGGTTTTGTGTGTATGATAAGATCAGACCATACCTGGTATGAAAAGATCAGCGTGAGTGAGAACTGTTGTGTGATTGATAAGCCCATTTAAGTTAAAAGCAAACCCGTTAAAGTGAGTCGATGGTAGAAATTGGAATCAAATTGGGGAAATTAAAATTCCTTACTATACTCTCTAACATGCATTGTTGACATTTCAGAAAAATGGGGAAACAATGTAGAATGAAAATGTTCTAATTTGGCACCATGTAACTAGTTTGTGTTGTCTATCATAGGTACACATAGAACTGATTGTTTAAAGATGGTATAGAGTAGTATTTGAAGAAAGAGGACAAGAAAGTAGGGAAGAAAGTGATAAAATGGCAGACCTTGAAATGAAGAGAAAGAGTAAAAGAGTAGAAGTAGAGAAAGATGGAGAAGAGAAATGTAGGGCCAGAAGAAGGGCTAAACCTCCCCCATATGCTGTCTCCTGCCTGCAAGAATGCCTACAGGAGGGGGGGGAGAACCCCTCTAAGATAAGCAACTCCAGGAAGACCTAGTGTAGCCTGACGTGTCCAATCTCTCTCTGAATCCTACAACAGTGACTGGGAAAGGGCAGAGAAAACTAACTTTGCTTCTCCCAGGAAATCTTTTTTGTCACTAGCAGTCCTGCAACCACAAGCTGGAGAGCCAACAGGACAAAGGGAATGTGATGACATCTGATTCTTAATAATTCATAGACAAATGTTTTTTGAATTGGTTCTTACATCAAAAAAGGTTGTAAAGCACTGGTTTAATCTTTAATATTTTGAATTAATATTTGTGTTTTATAAAGTCATCAAATGCTTATTTTAATGTAAAATCTTATTTTGAAAAGTAACTAATAGCTAATAGCTGTTAAACTATGTAGTGGAGTAGAGTAGAGTGGCTGACCTCATATGCCTTAAAGTTAGTTCCTCTTCAGTCTAAATAATTTGCACTCTATTTGCATGGCTTTGTTTTGCGTGTGTACAGTGGTGAGTAAGCTGCTGTAGATGTGTGTACCAGCAAGTTATAAATAATGTGAACACACGATAGAAACAATGACCAATATCATTTGTCAAACTAAATAAACGTCCATATGCAAAATCGAGATCACTGTGATTTTTTACTGACTTCAATTACGTCTATTAAATCTGCTTCACTCGAAATGTACTATAATGGACAGATGAAGTCGGCGTTTCTTGCCCGCCAGGTATCCATGGTAACCACGTGACTGCAAAGTATGAATTGCGATTGGTCAATGAAACGCTACCAGCAACGCGTTCTTGTGTCATGATGGGAACGCCCAAGCCGCAGCTGGACGCTTCTCACAAGGACAAGAACCCTCCCCTGTCGTCCCAGCCTTTTAACAGTGGCGGAAAGTAAGTACATTTACTCAAGTACAATACTTAAGGTACATTGAGGTTACTTTTTCCTCTTTATGTCCGTTTTTTTAATTTCCTTTACTTCAATACTTCAACTCCATCACATTTCAGAGAGGAATATTTTACTTATTTTTCTATTTTGATACGTTAAGTACATTTTCCAGATAATTCTTTTCTAATTTTGTCTAAGTGGGATTTTGAATGCAGCTTATAGAGTATTTTGTACATTGTGGTATTGATGCTTATGTAAGTTAAGGATCTCAATACTTATTCCACCATTGCCTTTTAAACACTGCTAGGTGTGCATGTTCCCATGTGTGTACGTTGCTATGTTGTAAGTGAACACAACACCCTGAGGACTTTGAACACAAGCACTGACACATTTTAAATTATCTTGCTGAACCTGTTTTGTGGGCGGAGAATAGCGACAATATAAAAGAAAGAGACCAAGTTAAATCAAGCACCAGCAGTCATGTTTGTGCATTAAAGAGGAACAGATAAAATGTAAGTACACTTAACATCAATGCATTATATTTCCACTGATTATAACACTGAGACACTGAGTTCATTTTGAAGTGCTATTTACTTTTTCTGTTAGTGGAAATTAAATTGTTTATCAGGATAATCCATTTTAGTAGGGTGAAAAGTCTATTTAATTGGTGGCGTTGGCTCACTGAACATCCTGTTCACATTTAAACAAAATTTAAAAAGTTTATTTCAGTTATGGTAGATTATGGTTTGCACAGGTGTTTGGTGAATGTGGATGAATTCTTCTGTACAAAAAAATATATTAAAAAAATGTTACAAATCTGAATCAATACAAACAAACAAAACTACTAATAAGAAATAAATTTGATCATTTAACTTACATCATTAATGCATCCACAATCTGGCCTTATTTAATTTTTTTTCGTAACATAGAAAACTTTCTAGAATACAGCATGAACACAAAATGTTAACTTAAAACAGAATGTAACGCATTAATCATGGTTTAAAGGTGAAAAAGTAAATGTTAACTTTCACAGCAGGTTGTCTTTGTTCTTCTTGGTATGGTTTGGAGGGTAAAATAGGAAATTAGATGAAAAGGAGTGGAGCTATATAATTTTGGAGAAGTGGTTTAGAGAGGAGTGGAATTTTATTTTATTTTATTGACTGCTCTCAGCAGTTTCAAAGAGATCAGCCACACGATCTGCCAGTGTATTCAAACTATGAGTTGGATGAAAAGATCTTTAACTCAATAAAATAAAGTTAAGCCATATGCAGCTTTGATTTCACAACACGTCTTAAAGTACAAAAGACGGGGGAGGGGGTTGAGGCAGGGTTGTTGTAACTGTTTAAAACATATTTAATTACCTTGCAGTTGCTGGTCATGGATGGTTTTGTACGTAACAAATTAACTGAATGGGGTCTCGCTGAGCTGATTGAAAGATTTAAAGGTAAAGTATTCCCATGCTTCTTTTTGGAATGACCTACCAATACTGAAACACTGAAGCATCTACTCATACAGACATAAAACATGCTGTTCGTCAGCATTTTCATTCGACTGAGAAGTGACGAAATACAATCAAATCAACATGCATTCAGCTCATAAAACCATGCAATTTCATAAGGAGTAGGGTCTAGACCTGCTCTATATGAAAAGTGTCCTGAGATAATGTCTGCTATGATTTGGCACTGTAGAAAACCCTAACCTAAACATTTAAGGAAAGTAAAATGTCCTATAAATCGCATCGAGGGGGGCCCCTAAACATCCCAGCGAAGAAGCATATTATATCATCCTCATGAACTACTGACCCTACATATGTTGACAAAATATCATTTGAACTTATAACCCTTTAAACACCACATAATGCACTAAAAAAGTAAAACTAACGAACCTACACCTATTTCAATTGTCGTCACCTACCAATTTTTCTGTTTTGTTCAATTACAGATGAAGGCATTGACGAGGAAATTCTTTACCTTCTTGATGATCCAGAAATTGATAGCTTGATCCCCAGAGTGGGACACAGGGCGAAATTTAAGAATAAACTCAAGTTGTTAAAGGTAAAGTTCTTCACTGTAAAGATAGTTTACATGAATACTGTGTTTGGACTCATAAATCTTACTATGTACACACATGCATTTATAATTAACAGCAAGAACGTCTCTTAAAAGTTTTGATGACTACAGACTCATTGACAATAATTGCATTTACCAGAATTTTAAATGTTTAATTATGGATTTGCAACTATTTCCTATTGTCACTAGGAAGGAGAAAACACAACAACAAACCAGGAAATTGTTGATTCTTCAGCTCAAGTAAGTTGAATACAGTTTCATGCAGTTAGGTATCATCTAAAGCATTATTACAATCATACAGAGTATATTTTCAGTGCATGACCTTCCACCTTTAAGAGTGTTACTTTTATCTGCAGTGTCAGCAGGAGCCTGAAGAAGCCGCTGATTTGGATCTGGTAAGAATGAGACCTCTATGTATGAGATTGAGTCATCTTTGACTTAAGAATCATCTCATTGGGTCACAGTGTTGTTGACTGAGGAAAAAATATGTTCCAGTGATCATTTGTTATACCCTTTCTGGACTCCACTTCACAGGGTCATCCCTGATTGGATGATAATGTAAATCAAATATTGTTGTGTGTAATGTTAAGATGTTTATTCAAGCCTGACAAAACCTGTTAGAGGACAAAACTTGTGTGAATGTAAGTTCTTGATAGAGTGAAATGTTCATATTCATCCTCAGGATTTGCCGTCCACCAGTAACACAAGTGATAAAGGTGAGATACACAGTATCCTATTGATTACATGTAGAGTTCATGTATGTTTTCAAGGCATTAATTTCTCAAACAGCTATACTGAGACCATGTTTTAATATTGTGAGAGGATGGTCCAACATACTTTTGTTTTTGGTTTCTTTTTGTATTTAAAAAAAAACAAGAAGGAAAGCGAAAGTTGGATCTTCAGGGCGAGTCCAGCAGACGGCAACCACAGACTAAGAAACCACGACACGACACTATACCTGGATCATACGGAGGTATATACAGAATATTACTATCTAAACAATGGCAATCTACTGTAGGGTTAAAACTCTTTGCATTCACTCACAGAAAAAATCATACTGTATGATGTGAAAAACATCATGAGATGGGTCGATGAGAGAATACCCAAACAAGACAACAAAAAGCTCAATTCTTTCCTGAAGTAAGTACTACAGTGGTCTGTTGGTTGTCTTAATGTTGCTCTTAGATTAGTGTAAGTGCAGGTTCACAAAAATAAATCCTGAGATATTTCAAGCCAATCTACGATTTCAATGCACATAAGGCAAAAAAAATACAGCATATGGTATTCTCCACATCTCCCAGAGGACCGCTCTTACCTGTGCACACAAGAGGACGTCTCTTACCTGTGCACTGTTAACTGTACAAGCTCCTGTCACAAGCTAGTTAGTCTATTAACTGAATGCACATGCTATCATAGTTTGACTCATGATGGGGCCTGATATCAGAAACTTTGCATACAGGAATTTTTATCTGGAAAATTAAACACAGTGGTTTAGGATTGGTATGAGATGGCAAAATAAAGACAAACACAAACCTTGACATTTGCTGTACTCACTCATCTTTGCCAAGAGGCAAATCAGTAACAGCACCCCACCAGATATCAAGTGTCACTGTTTCTGTGCATTAGACAGATCACTAATATACAACTTCCCTTAGAATCTAGATGATGGTTTTGACTCATTCTTTTTAGTGTTTGTATATTTTCCAAATTAATCAACTTACACATTTAAATTCTTGTACAAAAGGATTAAAATTAGTGAGTTGGAGACAGACAAGAGGGAGACGGTCGGTGTCTTTGGTAAAACTGGGGCTGGAAAAAGCTCTCTGATAAATGCTGTCATTGGACGGAAGAATCTCTTGCCCTCTGGAAGCATCAGTGCATGTACCTCAGTCATGATCAAAGTGGAGGCAAACATGCAGAAGAAGTATGAGGCAGACATTGAGTTCATTACAAAAGAGGTAAAATGAGCTGCATGTGTTTATATTTACTTGAAACTAGTGTATAAAATAGCTATAAACATACAGTTGCTGTTACATTACAACCATGTTATTCAATTTAGTTAAATGTAATTCTTTTTTTTTTTAGGTGTGGAATGATGAGTTGTGGTCCTTGTTTAATTTCCTCGAGGATAACGACACTGATGAAAAGCTGTCAGCGCTGTATGGAGAAGAATGGAAAAACAAAAAACCTGAAAACCTCATGGATTACAAGTATTTCAAAGAAATCCCCGAATTTCTCCATTCCAGGAGGAAGACTTTGACATGTGAATCAGTAAGTTGTATATTTAGTTTATAATAAGTTATTGTATATATGAAAAGCACTTAAAAGCACTCTTCATCTCTTCATAAGAAAGTAAATAAATCCAATTTCCAAAACCAATTCCAATCAGGATTTTGCCTCCATCATTGTGCCCAAATGTGGACCGCATTAAGATCCTAAATTCTACTGGCATTATACAGGAAACAACACACAGGGAAGTAGCATTATGCTACTATGATACACATACTCAATATACTTTTGCAGATAACCCAAGGCATTGTCGAAATCTGATCATGTTTGCAATACAGTTCTAAGCGTAAAACGTAACTATTCATTATCGCCTAGTTTTTATAACCATTTCTACATTTTATTGTTTTTACAGTTGCAGTACTTTTGTTGTTGTTGTTTCACTTTTTCATCATTTTATTGTTTTTATTGCTGTACATCATTCTTGCCAGACATGTCAGCTAGTTATTTTTTTATTTGTGGTTGTTGTTGTATATCCTTCTAGCCAATATCAATGTGAACTCAGGGCTTTGCTGTAAAAGAGCTCAATGATCAGTCACTTTCCCTGAATTAACAATGGTTGAACATTTAACTTAAGTCTTCACTTCAGGTTTACTATTTATTATTTATTAATATGATTTATCTGACTTTTTGCTGCCTTTATTATTACTTTCAATGATAGGGTTTCTTAATTAATTATTTCATGCAATATGTGAAGTTTGAATGTCGATATGAATAAAATTGTCTTGTGTTCCATTAATTTTATTCTATAATTTATTACAGGCTGAAGAGCTTTCTGCAAAGTTAGTCAAATACACAAGAACTGGCTCAAAAGGGGGAAAAGGTGAAAACATAAAGAGGTGGTACTGGCCACTAGTGAAGTGTGTGACTATCAGGGTCCCTAGTAATGATCTTCTCCAGCATGTCACACTTGTGGACCTTCCTGGAAATGGGGACCGTAACAAGAGCAGAGATGAAATGTGGAAAGAGGTCATTTATTCACTTGAACTGCTGTTTATTGTGTATTATTCTGCTATCTGGAAACATCATGTTATTACCAATAACTGACAATTAATTATTCATAATTAACTTCATTATGCCCCTTCAGGTTGTTGGACGTTGTTCTACTGTGTGGATTGTGACTGACATTAATCGAGCAGCAGCAGAGACAGAACCCTGGGAGATCCTGGAAAGGACCTGTAGCCTGATGGGAAATGGTGGCCAATGTCAGAAGATTCACTTCATCTGCACCAAGTCTGATGTTATTGAAGATTTGGATGACCAGTAAGTGATTTAAAATCCCCAAAGTACATACTGGTAGTTAAATATAACTTCTAAATTAGACTGTGTGGTGGCCAAGAGCTCGTCAGCAGTAAACACAAGCAAATGTAAATATAATATTGTCACATGATTGTAATGGTTGTTAGTTCAAAGTCTGAAACTGCAGGGACTCCCTCAAACTAATCTTACTTCTGTTTGGTAGATGCTCTTGCTCCAAGATTAGGAACTACAGTTCCCATAATGCTTTCAGGAGAATAAATAGGAATGTCCCTGTACCCTATAGACACACAGCACCCCCTAGAAACTCTGTGATGCATGGTTGCAAGCCTTCTCAAAGTCAAAACAAAACACATGTAAACTGGATGAGCAATCTCCCACTACAGTTTTCTCTGTTGTTTCCCACGTGAGCGTTGAAGTCCCCCAGTAAAGTCCAGTTGGTACTTTTAGCCTGGAGAATACCCAGAGGCAATACTAATTATAAAATTAAATAGTTCTTTTTTTCTTTTATTCTAAGAGGAGATGCAAAAAATGTCGGAATTTCAGGTTATAGTTCTTCAAATACTGTATGACGTGCGACATAATACAAATATTTCCCACGTGAGCGTTGAAGTCCCCCAGTAAAGTCCAGTTGGTACTTTAATATATAATATATAATATATAATATATAAATATAATACAAATGTTTCCCACGTGAGCGTTGAAGTCCCCCAGTAAAGTCCAGTTGGTACTTTTAGCCTGGAGAATACCCAGAGGCAATACTAATTATAAAATTAAATAGTTCTTTTTTTCTTTTATTCTAAGAGGAGATGCAAAAAATGTCGGAATTTCAGGTTATAGTTCTTCAAATACTGTATGACGTGCGACATAATACAAATATTTTCTTGCAGTTCATCAGATGAAGTTCGTGCTCTCATATTTAAAAGAAACATGCAAGCCAAGGAAGAAGTGAAAAAAGAATTTAACAAACTAAACCAGGTTAAGGTGAGTAGATACTATAATATACTTAACTCAAAAGTCACACTTATGTAATTATCTCAACCGTCTGTGAGCCAGTATTGATGACCTCATCTGTGGCTAATGTTAATTTCATAATAATCCTTACTCCCTGAAGTCAAGCAGCAGAAGTGACAATCTACAAATACTATTGGCCTAGAGATACCAGAAATGTAGTAGTTGATGCCCCAATGTCCCAATCAAGTTGTTTTGCTGAGTCATGATAAAGTAGTTGTATTTTCGTTAATAATAATAATAATACAGGTGAACAGCTCTGTGTTAAGAAACAAATGCCTTTAACCAAGCTGTTTTTTTATACTTCATATATGAATATTAATATAGCCTATATACAGCGGGTAAAATAAGTATTGAACACGTCACCATTTTTCTCAGTACATATATTTCTAAAGGTGTTATTGACATGTAATGTTTACCAGATGTCGATAA